AGATGTGTCTTTCTCAGCTGTAAGGACACAGTCTCCCCTCCCCCCCGCCCAGGTGTCACTGATGTAAGTGCACAGTCCCCTCCAGTCCTGTGGGCCCCACTTGGGACTCTGTCGCTTAGCTGCAGTGTATGATCGGAGTACACCGGGCAGGAGGGAGCTCCTGGAGGGTATTACGGCTTTAAAAAAGACTCTGTGGCCCCAAACAGCCACCCTGGTGAGTAGATTTTGGCCAAGCGGGAGGAGATGACATGGAAATGCACAGGCTTGTGCAGATTCTCTCCATCCAGGCCCAAGGAAGTGCTTTATGATATTAGGGTGGTGTCATCATCTCTCTCTTACAGATGGGGAAGCTGAAGTAGAGAGGAAAAGTGGCTTTCTCAGCATCACCCAGTGGCACAGCTAGGCCCAGGTTCTGGGGTGAAGTTTTGTTGGCATATCTCTATTGACTAGGGCATATCTCTATTGACTGGGAAAACAAAGGCACAGCCAACATAGCAGCGCTGGCAAACCCCAGTGTCAATGCAGATATGCCAACAGGAGAGTGCTTTTGTCAGCATAGTTAATATCACTCAAGAGTAGGAATGTTAAAATGTGATTATTTTTGTAAACGTAACCACTGAAGCTTAAAAACACCCCTGAGCTCCAGCTCCAGCCTGCTCCCCTCAGCCCCCTACACTGCTGCCTAAGATACAGAGGCAGCGGTGGGGAGGGCAGGCGGCATGGCAGGAGCCGGTCAGAACAGGGAGCCAGCTTGAAAGCCAGCTCCACATGTGCACCAGCTTCTGCCTCTCTCACCCCTACCTGTGCTGCCTCTCATACAGAGGGGAGCTTAGGCTCATAAGTTAACCGCGTACACAAGTCCACATTAACATCCCTATTCAGGAGATGGTGGTGTTATTCTGACAGAAAAATTCCTGGTGAATTAGGTGGCATCAATATTAGAGGGTTCTGCTGGTAGAGTTATCCTGGCAAAACACTTGTACAGGCAGTCCCCGGGTTACGTACAAGATAGGGACTATAGGCTTGTTCTTAAGTTGAATTTGTACATAACTCGGAACTGGCTCCAGATTCAGCCGCTGCTGCTGAAACTGACCAGGGGCTTACTACAGGATGCCCTTGGCAGAGTTGCTCTGCCCCCAGCTTCCTGGAATCAGCCACTGATCAGTTTCAACAACGGCTGAATCTGGAGCCTGGGACAGAACAGCCGGGGCCGTGCCCGGTACGGACCCCCCGCACCCACTCCCGA